AGGTAGATATATAAGCTTATCATCTATCAAATTAAGTGAATCCCATCTAATTTTGGATACATCAAATTCCTTAAACTTACAAAAATAAAAATAAAAATTCTTGTCTAGATGAAAAGCTAAATTATTTTGGATTAAATTAAAAGTACATGTTAATTATGCTCCAAGTGGCCCAATCAGTTAAATTATATATTTGAGCCCATCCAATTTATAAAATAACATCTACATATATATTCTTCCAAAGATATCCTAATTTTTTTATGTTTTCTCCTTTTAAAATCACTTATTAATTTTATATAAATATCTAATTTTTAGCTAATGATTAATTGGGCTAACTTTCATAATTTTTATTTATTTATGGTTCTCAATCCTATAAATATAAGAACATTGTGTCACATTTCACACAAATCTCATAAACAAAGGAAGAATATCAAACAAAAACACAGAATTAAGAAAAATGTTGTCTTCAGAGAAACTCTTCAAGAAGTTCGACAAGAACAAAGACGGTTTGCTTTCTTCGAACGAGTTTTGTGACGCGGCTTTAGCTTTCTCTCAGACCGTTTCTCAAGAGGACCTCGAAAAGCGGTTCAAGGAGATTGATGTAAATGGTGATGGTTCAGTTAACCTCGATGAGTTTGTTTCGTGGATGGAGAAGAATCTGAAGAGATCGTTTGATCTTATTGATACTGATGGTAACGGAAAGATAACTTCCAAAGAATTATATTCGGTGATGACTAAAATCGGAAGGGTATGCACCGAGGCGAGCTGTGCCAAGATGGTTCAAGCAGTTGATGCAGATGGTGATGGTTATTTGAACTATGAGGAGTTTAAGGCTATGGTGTTCAGTGACATCTAAGAAGAAGTTATATTTTACTTTTTCATCAATTGTATTTTGCTTATAGTTGGTTATTCATCTGTTAAGAGGTTTTCTCGACCGTTTTCTATTTAATTTTAAGAATAAGTTAAAGTGCATGCTGATGTTGTTGAATATTGCATAGGCCAAATGTTAATTATTTGCGACTTTGTATTTATTTAAAATTCAATGATGATAATTATATAAAATCAATAGAATAATAGAACAGTTTATTTATGAAAAAAATCAAATTATTTTTTATTAAAAAGAGTAATGATAGTTTATTTTCGTCAATCTACAAGTCTATGTATACCTTATAATTGATCTAAAAATATGACGTTGGAAAACAAAAAACAAACAAGTTGCCAAAGAGTTCACAAAATTAACCAAAATTATAACCAGAACACTAGCATGAGCTTGATGCCTCTGCTACGAAGGTCCNAANAAAAAAAAAAAAAAATACAGTGAATATTGAGTTTATATTCTCATGATGTAATTGTCAATTAAGTGTTCAACATTTCAGAAAATTTGAATTTTAATGTAGGATAATTATAACACATGCATTACCTATTGATGTAGAAAATTTCCAACGATATCTCGTTTCTGATTATAGGATAATTATGACACATGCATTGCCTATTTACTTAAAGAAATTCTATCGGAAAGACTTCTGGTTTCTCAGTTTTTCGTTTCTTTTTGTATTATGTTTAATTTTCATATCTTCTCCTTTCCGTACCTATTCATTAGTTACTTAATGGAGCTTTTATATTAAAAAAAATAACTCATGAAAGTGAAAGAAATGCATTAAAAAGAATCTCATATCCTTTTATATTATGTAGATTATAAGTTGATATTTTCTCCTTTTTGTTGTACCTATCTTTTAGTTTTTATATGACTTGGAGATTTGATATTTTGCAAAGTATATTATAAGCTTAACAATAGCATGGGCCAAAGCAAATCCTATTTAAGTTTGGATAACATAATGCTTAATTTGTTTTCCTTGTCTTAAAAAGACAACTATTACATTAAAACTAGATGTCAATTATGTTCCAACTGTCTCAGTCCGTCAAATCCAATTAGTTCAATTATATTTTTCCAAATATGTATATATGATAGATCTAACTTTTGATTTTTCTCCCTTTTAAATATTACTTCTAAATTTTTTGATTTAGGCTTTTCAAATCAAACCCTATAAATATAAGAACATAGTGTAACGCGTTTCACACAAATTCTCATAAACAAAAGCAAACAAAACATATAAATATAATCAAAGAAAATGTCTGCAAAAGAGATCTTCGAGAGGTTCGACAAGAACAAAGATGGTAAACTCTCCTTGAACGAATTTCGAGAAGCGGTTCTTGCTTTATCTAACACTTTTACTGATGAGGAAATCGTAATGTTGTTCGAAGAAATTGACGTGTACGGTGACGGTGGGCTCGACCTCGACGAGTTTATTTCGAGCGTTACGAAAATGTCGAAGAAAATGTTTGATATTTGTGATGTTGACGGTGACGGAAAAATAACGCCCAACGAGTTTTATGCGACCATTGGGCCACTCGATAATGAGTGCACCGAGGAGAAATGTGCCGCGATGTTTCGAGCCTCGGATAAAGATGGTGATGGTTTTTTGAGATTTGAGGAGTTTATGGATATGACAATTGGTGCCTTTCTAGAAAAGTAAACACCTTTGCTTTATTAAGTGTGTAACTTGATATATATGACTTCTTGATGATCAGTGATGCTTATGTTCATCGGTCTAGAGATTTCTCGACCGTTTTTTATTTATATATTTATGATCAAGTAAACTGATCAAGTCCATATTAATTTATGAATATTGGTGAAAATTCATGTAGTTGAACTTTTCCTTCGTTTTGCCTTTTTGGCAAAATCTATAAGCTAATAGATTCTCTTGATTTCGATCATTTTTTATGCTAAAGTGCGGTTCTCACTTAACAAAAAACACTAAAATCCCAACTAGATTCTGAAGGCCACGATTGGCCCAGATTTGTTTAGGGTTTTTGTATCTTTAATTGTGTTATATACTTTCCCTTAACCTCAAGAAATCAGAGGAAAAGAAAAATTGTTTTGTAATGTGAAAACAAAAAAAAACCCTAGTTGCAATTTGAAACGATGATCGTCAATCTTCCTAGGGATTTGATAGAGGACATATGTTCCAGGGTTTCCTTGAAAAATATGAAAGCAGTGCGATTAACTTGCAAAAGTTTGAACGGTTTATCCAAAAGTCCGAGCTTTACGAAGATGCATATTGGTAAAGCAGCAACATCAACAAGAGAAGAGTCTATGATGATCGT